TCGATCATGTCTTTCACTCCACTATTAAGTCAATATAAATCGAAAACTCCTTTTCGACTTATGAGTACACCTTGGCCAAGGATTTCATCATTGACTTAATTGAATGAAACGCAGATCATAATCTCCTACTATCTAAGAGTGACGAATCCTTTATTGATCAATCACAACCTTCATACGATTCTTGACGTACCCGAACGATGTCGTATTAGCGGCCCTTTTCAGAGCAACATCCAATACCGCCAAAGTATGACTGTCCTCATATAAGGTACCATGACGACCTCAAGTCAAAGGACCAATTTCACTACCGAACGTTAGAGATTAACCACCGACACTCAGATAGTTATCCATGTGGAATCTCTCGACGGGTCTCCAATGTTTTGTTCTATAACAAACATCCACGTGTTCATTTAAGTGTCACCACACTTTAACTTGTGAGATCAGCCACTTACTTCACAAGTAAGAAATGCCACACGTGATGGTCTATCCGTAATAACGATATCCGTATCTCGTTATTACTTACGACCACGGATGATTTAAGATTCAATCAGATGTAATTTGTATCTCACAATCACAACTCCTTGTGATTAATAAATTACAAATATTTGAATCTACGGACTCTATTATTTATTTAATTGTCTATTAATTAAATAATAGATCTGCCATTTAATTGCATTAATTATATATAAAAGTATTTATGTCCAAAGTCGATTGGACCTAGGGCATAATACTTACAGTTCAAACACAACAATATCTCCAACAGTGAGATCGTGTTGTCGTACAAAATCGCTCCATCCCTTTTCCAAAAACACAGTATCTCTATTCCTTCTACATAGATTGATCTCCCAGACTCCTTTGCCACTCGTTATAGTGGCCAGTTTCTTTACATGATTTATATTTCTACAAAAAGCTTTTGGCAGGACCTGTCCACAGATCAAATGGAAAAAACTATACATTAACCCGAAATGAATTTTCATGCAATTATTCGTCTATCAGTCAGAATATACTACAAACATTACGAAAAGATTTGGAATCGAAGGAGAGAAAACGTACCAATTTTGTATGAAAATCATGTGACATGACCTTGAAAAAATGTTTTGGTACTCCAAGATTTTGTTCCATTTAGAACGAGTACGATCTCTTGTACTAACTAATATAGTTTACTGGATTTTTTCTCTCCTTGTTTACAAAAGAATGTCAAAGATGTTCAAAGAATCTGTTGGGTTTCCTTCCGAAGAATAATTTACAGTAAAATACTACTGTCCTTTGGGAAAGGTGATGAGTAAGGCATTGAATGCAGTGCGTTTGTTCTTGTATTCTGTGAAAGGTGATGAGCAAGGCACGGAATGCAGTGCGTTTGTTCTTGTATTCTGTGAATTTAAATTGAGTTTTTCCATATGTACATAAGTTTTTCTTATAAAACTCCACCAGAGAAACATGTGTGTGGACCCATGATATATAAAAAATGTCAAAAATGTGTGTAGGTCTAAAAACTGGGAGATGTCTGTAAACATTATGTGACCTAATAAATTACACCTATTGATATTTTTGATAAATTAGATTGGATGGTAAATGAAACAAAAAACATATAAATTTATTTAATTTCAATGGTGCACAGTACCAATTTAGGTGATATTCAATTATCATTAATTGATTAATCTATAATTTATATCTATAATATATTAAAATATCATATCAATTTTCTTTTTATTTTTTTTATTTTTTTTACGATTTCATTCAATTATTTCAATATAACAACTTACTTTTCGTATTTCAATATATATTTAATTAATTCAATAATATCTTACTTTTCTTTTTTTAGTATATTTTTAATTTAATAATCATTTGAACCACTTAAACAAATTATCATTAATTATTTCGTCAATTATTTAATTATGATAAATGTACATTCGAAAAATTTATTACCTTATTTTTCATTTTTCAATATGCATTTATCAAT